ATTTGTTCATTCAACATTTATAGTGTGCCTTGGAAATAGTATATATGACTTGCATAAGAGCATAAAGAGCTTGTAAGGAGTAGAGATGGTATATACCAAGAGCATTTCTCAATATGAGTTCCCTGGAACACTGCACACTTTATTTCTGTATCTCAAAAGGAAAAAATGGTGAAATCTGTATTCACAGGTATGAGAAAAAATGAAACACATCAATAGCACAGAAGGATGTTCAAACTGTATACTGATACCCAGGCAGCATTTACTAACTACCACATGTATACTCTCTTCAATGATAAGTGGTTTTTGTTATGTATCTGGTCATAATTTCAGTAATTTTTCTATAATGATATTTTTTATATTTAATTTTTCTAAATTTGTATACAATTTAAGACATATTATATCTTTTAACCATTGCTGAAATTAAGTACATTTTAGTTTGCTTTCTTAAGCAGGAAAGTACTATTAAATAAATGATAAATGACTTCATTGCTAATAAGGTATTGGTAGGAATGAGTGAACCAGTTGAGGAAATGAATAAGGAAAAAGTCCTTGTTGAAAGGGCACCTGGCTGCCTCAGTCAGAAGAGCATGTGACTCTTTTTTTTTTAAGTAAAGATTTTATTTATTTACTTGACAGAGCACAAGCGGGGGGGAGCGGCAGGCAGAAAGAGAGGGAGAAGCAGTCTCCCCATGCGGGACTCAATCCCAGGACCCCAGGATCATGACCTGAGCCAAAGGCACATGCTTAACCATCTGAGCCACGCCGAGCATGTGACTCTTGATTTCATGGTTGTGAGTTTGAGCCCCATGTTGGGTGTAGGGATTACTAAAAAAAAAAAAAAGAAGAAGAAGAAGAAGAAGAAGAAAGGAAGAAAAAGAAAGAAAGAAAGAAAGGCAAAGAAAAGAAAAAAGTCCTCATTGAAAAGTGAGAAGAGTTCCTTGAAAATAGGACTGAGGGAACAAGAGAAAGAATTGATACCCTGACATGGAACATGTTTCAGGATGCAACTGCAGAATGCCACTTCCATTGACACTTTTGAGACAAACTGATGCTTCAGTTTCTTCCTTGAACATCCAATTAAAGTTTAGGACCCAGAAGCAGCCAGTGTCCGACAGCAAACTTACCCTCAAACTTATTACTTTCCAAATCATTCTGTGGCAGGATACCCAGATTGTGACAATACTCTGTCTCAAGATCAAGGGTGAAAGATTAAGAGGGAAGGGGGGATTTCATGGGTTGGTGATTTTTTTTATTAGTTGGCCACTGAACCCTAATACATAGACTTTTTTTTTTTTTAAAGCCTGTTGCTTAATTCAATTGGCTCATGCAGATAGATTAAGGAGTATTAGAGTATGTTATTTCCATATTTCCCTGCAACTGTACCTCTAGCCAACTCAGTTGGCATCTGAAATAAATGTATATATACACTATGATTCCAGGAGACGCCTGGGTGGCTCAGTTAAGCATCTGCCTTTGGCTCAGGTCATGATCCCAGGGCCCTGTGATGGAGCCCCGCATCGGGCTCTCTGCTCACCAAGGCGCCTACTTCTGACTCTCCCCCCTGCTCATGCTCTCTCTGTCATAAATCGATAGATAGACAGACAGATAGATAGATAAAATCTTTATATATGCTATGATTCCAAATACCAGAATATAGATTTTTAAAGGATATACTTCAAAATGTTAACACATTATGTCTGGATAGTAAAGTCTTAGGAACTATTTTTTCTTTTTTCATTTCTATATTTTCCAAATTTCTACAATGAACATGAGTTACTTATGCAATTGAAAAGAATATTAATAAAATTCATGCTTTCATAGAGAAATTAAGAAAATGGCCTTTGAGAGTATTGCTTGCTCTCCATTTGATCCAAAGGATGTATCTTTGATCTTATTGGTGTTTCATCAATACATTGTAGTTATAAAAGGTGTTCTTTGGTCAAATAAACTTAGGAAACACATGGGAGGGATCTAGCACGCAGTAATTAGCAGACAATAATTTATTATTGTAATTATGTTAGGATCTGCACTAGAAGCTAGAGACAGAAGCATTAATAAAATCTGAAACCTCCCCTTAAGAAACTCAGTCTAGTAAGGGAGACAGATGTATTACATATCCTATTACAATATAATGTAATACAACGTATGCGCTAAAGAGGCAAGAACAAAATAAACCTCCAGCATTTAATTTTGAAACATTAAGTTCCTCTTTCAAGGACAATCAATCTTAGTAAAAGGCAATATGTTCATTCAAATTTTGAAAACATTAAGTATAGGGTGATCTTATTCCTTCTCAATTAATTCAAAGTTCTACTACAAAATCCATATGTAGATCCCTGTATCCATGCAGATATTTCTAAACAATTTTCAGTTTTCAAAGTGCATTTATATACCTTATCCTTCTAACAACCCAAAGAGAAGCAAACAGTCCCCATTTATAAATAAGGAAACTAGGTCTTCTCCTCAAGGCTAACTAGTGGTCCAGAATCTGACCCAGGTGATAATGCAGACATAATATAGTCATAGCAATGCTGGTGTATGTACTTTATAAGATATATTGATCAATGTTTCAGTCTTGGAATGGTCATACATCTGGTTTACATGAAATAATCAGGTATTTGAAGTTAGGGAAATAGAGAATTAGCCTAAATGTTGGTAATATGCACAGAGAGACTAGTGATTGCTGTTGGCAGTGTCCAAGACAAAAGTAAAAAATAGGGGCGCCTGAGTGGCTTAGTGGTTAAGCATCTGCCTTCGGCTCAGGTCGTGATCCCAGGGTCCTGGGATCGAGCCCCACATTGGGCTCCCTGCTCTGCAGGAAGCCTGCTTCTCCCTCTCCCACTCCCCCTGCTCGTGTTCCCTCTCTCACTGTCTCTCTGTCAAATAAATAAATAAAATCTTAAGAAAAATAAATAAAAAATAATCAAGGAGGTGACTTCTTCCTTGACTATTATTTTCCAGAAACTTAGTATCTTGAGTTACAAAGTATTTTTTAGTAAATATCTCCTCTGTCACTCTGGATTTAATTGTATTATTTGGTGCACATACTCAACAAAAGCATATTAAGCACTAACAACATAGGAACTTACTACAGTGCATTAGGACCATCATACAAGTAAATAGATTCAAGTCTGCAGATATTTAACAAGATTTTCATGACAGCTGCAGTTTGAATATACAAATACTGATCCCATATTTGCAAATAGCGAATGGAAATTTTTATATAAGGAGTGAAATTGAAACAACCGAAAATGACTTTATATCTAGGGGAAAATATTTTTAAAGTATTTCTGACAGTAAGTGAGAACTGGAGATCCAGCTTATCCTGGTTTTGATACCTGCTACATTGATTTAGCACACATTTTTTAACCTCTATGGAGTACTGGTTTTTTCACCTGTAGAGTGTCACAAAAATTCAAAAATTAACATGTATTTCTTCTAAAATAAAATTTAGATCACCCACAATGACAGTTTAGATAGCTTTTTAGAGGATCTAGTTTTGTTTTGTTTTGGGTTTTTAGTACGCACATTTTTCTTTTTTTAAAATCAGTAAACACAGGGTGCCTGGCTGGCTCAGTCAGAAGAGTGTGCAACTATTGATCTCAGGGTGGTGAGTTCGGGCCCCATGTTGGGTGCAGAGATTACTTAAATAAGTAAATAAACTTAACAAAAAACCCAACTGTATAATTAAACCAAATAAGCATTTACATGGCATTTTGCTGGTGACCCCTTAAACCTTTGATGCTTTGCATGAGTAAGGAGCCTAGCATCTATTTAAGTCACTCTTTAGAACTATGTTTAACATAAAATTGTACAGATTATACAGAAGAATACTAATGTATTTCTGTCATATTTAAAACTGTATCCCTGGCCAATTCTTGTTAGAAAGGGTGTTACGGTACTAAATCAAGTTTTAAACTGTAAACTACTAGAATTTACCATTTCAAGTATTAGTTTGTAAATTCAAGCAGTTTTAACCTAGTTTAACATTCATCTGTAAAGAACAGTTAAAATTGATTGACTTAATCCAATTTCACAGCATTTTATACATCATGCTTGAAATGAAATAAAGACTCATTATTCTGAGATAATGAAGAGGCAAAGATTTGGCCTGCTGTTTGGGAAATTACAGGGTGGACCACCTAGGCTCCTTTTAGTAAGATGCTTTTCCAAGAAACAACTTCTTTGTTTTCTTTAAACAATACAGTCCTGTCATAAACTACATCATCTTTTTGTCTTTAGGAAATCCAGGTGTCATTGCTGAGGTGCAAGGTGGGGCTGGAAAAAAAACAGGTGGAAGGTTTGCTGCCTTGGTAACCAGGACGCTCCAATTTCTGTCCCAGTCCACCCCAAGTCTAACTGTGACCTTGGGAAGTGTCCCCAGGTCAGTGACTAGGTTTCCCTCTCTTCTTAATTCTCAGTGCTCAGAGAGGGGGACAGGGGTGGGGTGGGGGGGAGGGTAGGAACCAGCCCCCAGGGACTGCAGACAACCAGGCTACAGCACGCTCCAGGTTCACGCAGTTCCTCAAACCTCGTCGCCCTGGATCTCCCTACAAGCTCAGCCACTGGCTCCGCTCAGAGCAGTCCGTTCCCGTTCCCCCGGGGGTACCCTGGCTCTGCTCCGCGCCCCCCCCCCCCCCCCGCCTTGTGTCTCGCTGCGAGGAAGGGACCTTGCGATCATCCTTCCATTTGCCGAGAAACGCTCCATCTACCCTTAATTCTCACCCTAGTCCTTCCTCCTTCAGAGAACACCTGACACCGCTGCACTCGACAGATCCCCACCATGGCTCTGTCTCAAGACCCATTATCTTCCCTCAGGAGACGTCCCCTTCGCATCGCCTTCACCTCCAGGGAGCCCTCTTTCGCACACCCCATTCTTCCTCAAACTCTCACGCCATTTCCACCCGCCAGCCTTTTGCAGAGCTCTAAAGGACCCTCAGCTCTCGTGGGGGAAAAAGCCTCCCCCACCTCCGCCATCGGGATCTGGGGACCCCTCTCACCTCCGCGGTGGGAGATGTGTTTACTGAGGAATCGCTGCTTCTTTCTCGGGTGCAGCAAGGTCGGGTATTTGAGCAACAAGAACGAGGTCACCAAGTACCCTCCCAAGGTGGAGAGAAGGTAAAAAGCCGCGGTGGACGACATCTCAGCCACCGTATGGGAAGTCTCCCACCTCCGGGCCCTGTGAACTCCGCTGCTGCGGTCGCAACGGCTGCGGCGGCTGCGGCAGCTGCTCGAGGTCTGCTCGCCCCCAGCCGGTGCCAGCGGTGCAGCGCACTTGTCGGCGCCAGCCCTCCACGCAGGCGCAGCCAGATCCCACGCGTCTGAGCAACAAAGGGGCTGCGGTACGCAGGCGCGCTCTGGCTGCTGGGTAGGACCCTGCAGAGGTCCGGTAGTGAGCATTTGTCACCTAGCTTTGTGGTAGAACCCGCTGCGCTTCAGGAAAGCTCCACACTGAGGCGAGAGCTTGGAAACCTGCCAGTGCCTTCGCCATCACTCAGGCAGAAAAGGCTCTTCAAAGATAGCCTGAATTCAGGAAGACCTGACATAATTAGAAAATCCGCATCAAGAAAGGAGAGAGAGATTCCAGGGCACATCTTAGCTGGTGCTCTAGGAAGTGCAAAGAACTGTTAGCAATGGAGGAGTTAAAGCTTGCTAAAACAAATTATAAACCCATCCATTTGTCTAGCCAAGATACAGTCTTCCCTATTGTTACACATAACCATAAGAGGTACTAGTTAGTTCATCAGTCGAATATTTGAGGGGCAGACTCCTTTCTCATTTCACTGAGAAATGAGATCCCACGCCTGTACAGGAAAGGCAGGCAAGAAATATTTGTTGACTTGCAAGTCTACTTACAATAAGAAAACGTTGACAAGGTTATAGGTTATTACTTAAAAGTCTTAGATAGGAAACTCAATCCCAGAAGGCCCAACTAATTTTCCTTTCATCCATACTTCCAGGTTTACATAAGGAAAATGTGGGACAAAGGTGGGTGGCTACATGCAGGAGGAGGGCAGTGAAGGTCAAGTTGATCCCTGTCTTAAAGTCAATCATGGGTGGGGTCTTGCAGGTTCAGGGCAGGCCCTATTGCTTAAGTGGGTAGTTTCGTTCCCATCAGGTTATGCTTTGCCTGCCAGATCTTTTCCTGAGTTAAGAGATAAGCTGGAAAGAAGAACTTAATCAAGTAGAAAGTCTGAGGTCAAAATAGATAGTTGAAGTCCTCTTTCCAATGAAGATTCTAGAAAACGGTGGCCTACATTAAATTTAAAAAAAAAGTAGCTGAAAAGGGGGCTCCGGGGTAGCTCAGTGGGTTGAGCGTTGGACTGTTGGTTTCAGCTCAGGTTGTGATCTCAGGGTTGTGGGCTAGAGGCCCGAATTGGGTTAGGAGCTCAGCACAAGTTGGCTTGGGATTCTTCCCCCCCTCTCTCTCTCCCCCACTCTGCTCCTTCCCCTGCTTGTGTGCTCTCTAAAATAAAAATGAATAAAAAAAAATTTTTTTTAAGTAGCTGAAAAAGACTTTTGCATCAGTTTACCACTACAGTAAGTCTATTTCTTGATCTAATATCAAAATATCCAGAGAAATGTTAAAGCCTTTATAGAAGAAAAAGAACTAAGTATAAAAATTCCCAAATATAACCACACTTTTTAAACGAAAACATTTTAAGGAAACTCATGAGTTGAAAAATATTGCCTTGTTAGGAATTAAGGAAAGTATCTGGTTAGGGCTGTCAAATTATATCCTATAGATCAGCTGATGGCATGGTTCTGCTTCCCTTTACCAAAATCTCACCTGATAGCAACTTTTATCTAAATTCAGTGACTACTATTTATGATGGGAATAAACACATGTATATGATAAATATTACCTGGAAAAAATCTATGTAACTAAGAATATTTAACCTTCAAATATAGAGGTAACTGTGGCTTAGAAGATAGAGCTCTGAACTTAGAACCCATAGATACAGCTATACGATTTACAAGCTGAGTGACTTTGAGCGTATTACTTATTTTAAGCCTCTGTTTCTACATCTGTAAAATGAGGATAATAGTATCTAACCTCACAGGGGCATTCTGAGGATCTAATGAAGTAAAATGAAAGCATTAAAAGTATCCTATATAAGTAAAGCATTGTCAAAAGTTAAAATATTTTTCTCTAAAATATCACCAACAAATTTGAGAAAAGTATACATAATTGTCAAAATAAGTAACCAAGCAGGTTATTGGAGGCCCAAGAAAATTAAAACTAATGCAAGAACAGGCAAGCAATGATAATATAGTAACTTTTTTATTTTATTTTATTTTTTTAATTTTTTTAAAGATTTTATTTATTTATTTGACAGAGAAAGACACAGCGAGAGAGGGAACACAAACGGGGAGTGGGAGAGGGAGAAGCAGACTCCCTGCCGAGCAGGGAGCCCGATGTGGGACTCGATCCAGGGACTCCAGGATCATGACCTGAGCCGAAGGCAGTCGCTTAACCAACTGAGCCACCCAGGCGCCCCAATTTTTTTTTTTTAATTACACCAATATGACCAGAGAAGTCGTCCAGGATGAAGGAGTCAAATTTTCAAGAGCCACCAAAGTTAATAAGGCATTATTTTTTTTTAAAGATTTTATTTATTTATTTGAGAGAGAGAGAATGAGAGACAGAGAGCAGGAGAGGGAGGAGGGTCAGAGGGAGAAGCAGACTCCCTGCTGAGCAGGGAGCCTGATGCGGGACTTGATCCCGGGACTCCAGGATCATGACCTGAGCCGAAGGCAGTCGCTTAACCAACTGAGCCACCCAGGCGCCCCAATAAGGCATTATTTAAACCAAGAATGGAATTTAGTACAGTCAATTATCATAGGGAGGAAAATGTTAAAAAAGAAAGTGTAACAGAAATCACTGGCCTGTTTACTTATTTATTTATTTTTAAGATATTATTTATTTATTTGACACAGAGAGAGACAGTGAGAGCAGGAACACAAGCACCGGGAGTGGGAGAGAGAGAAGCAGGCTTCCTGCCTGGGCAGGGAGCCCGATGTGGGGCTTGATCCCAGGACCCTGGGATCATGACCCGAGCTGAAGGCAGACGCCCAATGACTGAGCCACCCAGGCTTTTTTTTTTTTTTTTTTTTAAAGCTTTTATTTATTGGGCGCCTGGGTGGCTCAGTTGGTTGAGCGACTGCCTTCGGCTCAGGTCATGATCCTGGAGTCCCAGGATCGAGTCCCACATCGGGCTCCCTGCTCAGCGGGGAGTCTGCTTCTCCCCCTGACCTTCCCCACTCTCATGTTCTATCTCATTCTCTCTCTCAAATAAATAAATAAAATCTTTAAAAAAAAAAAGATTTTATTTATTTAACATAGAGCAAGCACAAGAAGGGGGAGTGGCAGAGGGAGAAGCAGGCTCCCTGCTGAGCAGAGAGCCTGACCTGGGGCTCCATCCCAGGATCCTGGGATCATGACCTGAGCTGAAGACAGACGCTTAACTGACTGAGTCACCCAGGTGCCTGGCCTGTTTCCCTGTAAAGAAAAAACTGATGTCTGCAGAGGTTAAGTACTTTGCCCAAGATGCAGAGGTTAAGTACTTTGCCCAAGACTACATAGCTAGTAGCTGATGTTATAAAAAGGTCACCAATCTCAATTCAGTTCAAGAGGTTGGTTAGAGAAGATAGTATTGATCTTCTGAAAAATAAAAGGTTAATTAATGATTCCTTAGGTTGGGGCATCTGGGTGGCTCAGTCGGTTAAGTGTCTGCGATTGGCTCATGTCATGATCCCAGGGTCCTGGGATCGAGTCCCACATCAGGCTCCCTGCTCAGTGGGGAGCCTGCTTCTCCTTCTCCCTCTGCCCCTACCCCTGCTCCTGCTTTCTCTCTCAAATAAATAAATAAAATCTTTAAAAAACAAACAAAATTATTCCTGAGGTTGTCATTTAAATCCCATCTACAATTGCATTGCCCAAATCATCAGTGCTCTAGATAGCAGATGCAATTGCCTAGGAATATACATCACTGGGATCAGAGATATTTACCCAAGAGTTCTGAAGAAATTCATAAATTAAATTGAGATATTTTTCAGAGTAAGAAAATTTGTGCTGATTGGATTGATGGACTGCCATCAGGATTCCTAACTATGACATTGGGAATCTGAAACTAGGCTAGAGCATGGTTCAACTTTCAGTAGGGCAATTTAGCAATATGTGTCAAAGTGCAAAATATATGGGCGCCTGGGTGGCTCAGTCGGTTAAGCGACTGCCTTTGGCTCAGGTCATGATCCTGAGTCCCGGGATCAAGTCCCACATCGGGCTCCCTGCTCAGCGGGGAGTCTGCTTCTCCCTCTGACCCTCCTCCCTCTCGTGCTCTCTGTCTCTCATTCTCTCTCTCGCGAATAAAAAAAAAAAAAAGTGCAAAATGTATATAGCTCTTGCCCCATAAATCCAAAATCTAACAGTTTATTCTGCAAAGAAAAGTTCACAAGTATTAATAAAAGACATATGCATGTGGGGCACCTGGGTGATGGGATCAAGCCCCATGTCAGGCTTTGTGCTCAGTGGAGAGTCTGCCAGTCCCTCTCCCTTGGCCCCTCCCCCCACTCATGCTCTTTCTCCCAAATAAATAAAATCTTTTAAAAAATCTAAAAAAAAAAAAAAAAAAGACATATGTATGCATCATCGTGTTCCATCATTGTTTGTAGGAGCCCTAAATTGGAAAGAACCCAAATATCAAATAATAAAAAACAGACTGTGTAAATCATATGGGAAAATGATACAGCCATTAATAAGACTTCAATTTATTGACAGGAAACATGTCTACCACATGTTGTCGAGTGAAAAAAAGTACATTACAAAACAACTGTATTCTTGTATTTTATGATTGCAATTATGTAAGATTGAATACATATCTTCATGTACATATATGCATAGAGATGCCTAGGAGGATATTCACTAAAATGTTGAAAGTGTTGGCAAAATACTGGCCAAGCAGTGGAATCTCAGGTAACTTACTCTTATCTTTAAAAAAAATTTTTTTTCTTAAGGTTTATTTATATGAGAGTGCACGCGAATGAGGTGGAGGGAAGGGCAGAGGGAGAGGCAGAAAGTGAATCCCAAGCAGACTCCACACTGAGTGCAGAGCCCTACTTGGGGCTTGATCGCAGGACCCTGAAATCATGACCTAAGCTGAAACCAAGAGCCACTTGACAAACTGTACCACTCAGGTGCCTCCCCCCCAAATTCTTAATAACAGATATAGTGACTACATATTAGTTTTACAAAAACAACAAAGGTATGTTCAAAAACAAAAACGTTTTAAATGGGATTATAAGCTAGGTACTCTTTTTTTTTTCTTTTTTAAAGATTTTTATTTATTTATTTATTAGAGAGCACATGAGAGGGGGGAGGGTCAGAGGGAGAAGCAGGTTCCTTGCTGAGCAGGGAGCCCGACGTGGGACTCGATCCCGGGACTCCAGGATCATGACCTGAGCCAAAGGCAGTCGCTTAACCAACTGAGCCACCCAGGCGACCCTAAGCTAGGTACTCTTGCATTTATATTGAGAAAACAGCTAGTATAAAATCAAAGATAAAAATTACTGGAAATTCAAGTACATATAACTTAGTAGGAGAAAGGAAGTAATAATCAACTGTTGTAAGACAGTCCTCTAAGGGTGGAATAAAAGGGAACCACAGTATATAATTTACTCTTTAGAAGTTGGTTTTATATCTATTCATATAGAAAATTATTTTTAGGGGCATCTGGGTGGCTCAGTCAGTTAAGCATCACCTTTGGCTCAGGTCATGATCTCAGGGTCCTGGGATGGAGCCCAACATCGGGCTCCCTGCTCACTGGGGAGTCTGCTTCTCCCTCTCTCTCTGCCTCTCCCCCCTACTCATGCTCTCTCTCAAATAAATAAATAAATACTTGAAAAAAAGAAAGGAAGAAAGAAAAGAAAATGATTTTTAGGGGCACCTGGGTGGCTCAGTTAGTTGAGCTTCCAAGTCTTGGTTGTGGGATCAAGCTCTACATGGATCCCCAAAACGGGCTCCGCACTCAGTGGGGAATCTGCTTGAAGATTCTTTCCCTCTGCCCCTCCCACCACGTATGCACTCTCTCTCAAATAAATAAATAAATCTTAAAAAAAAAGAAAAAAAAAGAAAATGATTTTTTTTGCTATACTTATGGGCAGGATTATTTTTAGCACGGAAAGATTTGGGAAAAATAGTTATATTGTATTTATAATATGATAGGATCTGAGCTCAGTTACAAAGAATAATAACTATCCTTTCTATTTATAACAGTTTGTAAAGGACTTCAATTAACACAACTTTAAGAGTTTGAACCAAGGTTATCTTTTGAGGTAGGTAAGGGAGTTATTATCCTCATTTTACAAGACCAACAAACTAAAGCTTTAGATGGTATCCAGTGTTTGGAGATGCAGTAAACTACTTCCTTAAAACACCAACCCAGTGAGCTGCTGTGCCAATTTAGGCCAATAAACATAATTCAGAATACTGAAAATTAAACATAAACTAGTAGCTGGCCTTTGTTGACAATTGTGCAGCATTCCAAAAACTGAGTGCAGTTCTATTTGCCACATCTTAGGAAAGGCACAAAATTGTAGGAGACAGAAAGGAGTGAGAAATGGCCAAAGGATTTGAGAGGTGTCATATCTGAAGCATAAACAAACAAAAATTAGATCAGGGTTAAAAGACCACAGAAAGATACAAGAGGAAAGGTACAAATCAAGTCTACAAAACTGCTACACGTCATGGTGCTTACATAGGGTTTTGCATGTACTAGACACTCTTTACCTGATTATAAAAGGTAGGACTAGAACTAACCAAAATGTATTCACCATCTCCAAAACTTGGAATTATGGGATACCTTTAAAAAATGAATTCAAGATAAAATATCATTATCAAGAATTTATTTATATGCCCCTCTGTTAGGAGCTTTATATATACTCCTTTACTCCTCACAGACATCCTTTGTGATAAATAGTAATTATCATTACCATTTTATTATTTATTATTTAATCATTACAATTTTAGAGAAAATAATACTCAAGAATTGAGTAAATTGTTTAGGTTTCTTTTTCTTTTCTTTTTTTTTAGATTTATTTATTTATTTGAGAGAGAGGGGTGGGTGGGTGAGGGCAGTGGGAGAGAATCCTTAAGCAGACTCCCTGACGAGTGCAGAGCCCAACATGGGGCTCAATCCATCTGACCCAGGAGATCATGACCTGAACTGAAACCAAGAGTCAGTTGGTTGCTCACCTGACTGAGCCATCCAGGTACTCTTGTCCAGGTTTCTTAAGCAGTAGAATCTTTTTTTTTTTTTTTTTTTTTGGCTCCAATCTACTTTAGTACTACTTCATACAGGAGAAAATCTGGAATGAGAGATGGTTTAATATAAAGATTCAATACAGTTTAGAGAGAATCAAGATTCATAGTCTTAAAAGAAACTAAGATATTTTGGGGGTATCATGCCCAATTTTTCTTTTTTTTTAAAGATTTTATTGATTTGTCAGAGAGAGAGAGAGCACACAAGCTGGGGGAGTGGCAGGCAGAGGGAGAAGCAGGCTTCCTGCTCGATCCCAGGACCCCAAGATCATGACCTGAGCTGAAGGCAGACACTTAACCGACTGAGCCACCTAGGCACCCAAAAACTCACCCATTCACAAGTCTTAAGACCGTAGTCAGATATTCAGTTGGAGGAAATGACATGCAGTTTTCAATCTTATTTTTAAGAAAGCAGGACACAGGAAGAGTACAGCTTTGAAATCAGAGTCCTTGATTTAAATTGACTTTGCTACTCCCTACTATGTGACCCTGGACAAATTATTTAACCACTTCAAACTTTAATTTCTTGATCTGTAAAATACATTTATCTTGCAACGTTTTGAGGATTAGAGGCAATGTATGCAAATGCTTAGTAAAGTACCTAACAAGTTGACATTCATGAAATAGCTATTATTATTCTGTGGCATTCAGTAAAGAGTTGCTATTATTTTTGTGAATCAGGCTTTCCTAGTCCCATTTTTCTAATTTTCTTTGCTTTACTGTTCCTTGGAAGTTTTTTGTTTGTTTTTCAACTAAAATACAGATTCCCTGTTTAAGTACTACAGGGAACCTAACTTTATTTTTTAAAGATTTTATTTATTTATTTGACAGAGTGAGAGAAAGCGAGAGCAGGAACACAAGTAGGGGGAGTGGGAGAGGAAGAAGCAGGCTTCCCACAGAGCAGGGAGCCCAATGCGGGACTCGATCCCAGGACCCTGGGATCACGACCCGAGCCGAAAGCAGATGCTTAATGACTGAGCCACCCAGGCACCCGGGGAACCTAACTTTAAACCAACATGTGAAGCCATTTTAAAAAATCAAAATAACATAATTTACATGAAGGAAAGATTTATCATATTAGTCCTTTAAATAATAAGCACTCCTTGAATAAGATATAATTTACTTCTTAAAATTCTATACAACTTTTCATAGACACAACGGACTAACCAATAGGCCAAAGGATATCCTGTGAAGTCCCTTCTGACCTAGTGATTCTTTAAAAAAAATCATTTTGATGCAAATTCCTTATCATATTCCAGGCCTCCTGAATTGGCACCTGCTCTTACGGGGCCCAGGTGTCTAGATTTTTAAAAAGTTTCCTGGGGGGGTTCTTATCTATTTAATATAAATGAACTTAACAGTTCTTCAGGGGAAATAAGCAGTAGTACATTAAAAAGTTACACTGATTGTAAAAATGCATCCCGATTCAGAAATATTAAAATATTGGTAAAATGTGCATCTTAAAAAATCATTTTGATTCATCTGCTTATATCTCAATAAAAAAAGAAACATCTGCTAAGCAAAGGACAATTCAAATGCTGCTACAGAAGAAATATAATTTTTTTTTAAGATTTTATTTATTTATTTGACAGAGAGACACAGCGAGAGAGGGAACACAAGCAAGGGGAGAGGGAGAAGCAGGCTCCCTGCTGAGCAGGGAGCTCGATGTGGGGCTCGATCCCAGGACCCCGGGGATCATGACCTGAGCCGAAGGCAGACACTTAACGACTGAGGCACCCAGGCACCCCGAAATATAATTTCTTTAATAAAATCATCACTTTGGAAATTTGCTGAATAAGGTTTATATCACTAATGTGAAAGGCAGTAAGCAATACAAATTGTATAGTCCACATTTCTCTAATGCAACATTCTCTAAACCAATTTGTGGATAAAAACATGAAGAAGTTCTGCAATTGTCTTTTAAGCAGGCTGTAAATACAAATAGCATAAAAATTTTGTATTTAAAAACTACAGAAATTCAAATTAGGGTGTCTTCTGTAATCAAAAATAATTAAGGAGGGGCGCCTGGGTGGCTCAGTTGTTGGGCATCTGCCTTCAGCTCAGGTCATGATCCCAGGGTCCTAGGATGGAGCCCCGCATCGGTCTCCCTGCTCTGCGGGAAGCCTGCCTCTCCTTCTCCCGGTCCCCCTGCTTGTGTTCCCTCTCTCGCTATGTCTCTCTCTGTCAAATAAATAAATAAAATCTTAAAAAAAAAATAATTAAGGAAAATCACTCACTAATTTAAGCAGGAATGTAAAATTTTTTCACGTAATGACATCAAAAAAGAAACAAAAAAAAAGACAAGTTTGCTCTTTTGATACCTTATTTGTTCTTACAAACTATTTTGTTACAGTTCCTTTAACCTACAAGTTTACACACCCTGTTATTCAAGGCTATTAAAAAAACAAAACAAGGGTGCCTGGGTGGCTCAGTCGAGTAAGCATCGGACTCTTGGTTTCAGCTCAGTCCAGGATCTCAGGGTCATGAGATCAAGCCCCATGTCTGGTGTCATTCTCAGTGGGGAGTCTGCTTCTCTCCCTCTCTGGCTCCCTCTGCCCCTCCTCCCAGTCTCTCGCTGCCTAAAATAAATAAATCTTTAAAAAAAACCAACTATTAATACATGTCCTACAGAGCAATCTAGCTGTATTTTCCAAATGCCGTGCACTACTTAATAAAACCAACCAAAAACCATGCTTAGTACAAAAGCAATTGTGATTGTTAAAACTGATATACAAGGAATGAAAAATTAATAGGATTAAAAATAAGGATGAGATGCAAGAAGAATGTAAGTTAATTTCCAGAGTTGGAGTCCCATGTTGGGTGTAGAGATTACTTAAGAAAAAGGGTAAAAAAAAGTTTTAGTTCAGATAGCATTCATTTAAAAAATGAAATAAAATAAAAATAAAAAAATAAAAAATAAAATATGACATCTTATCAGTTCAGGACTAAAATAGTAAGAACAAAACAGCCTAACTCCGGTACCAGAATTGTGAGCCAAACAATAGGGCTTTTTTTGCAATTAAATCCTCATACCATTACCTACTGGATCATCTTATTTTGAAGATAATTTCAGAAGTGGCATCTTAAGGAAAATCCCAGCTAAAACATCATTTGAACCAAAACAAAGTTTTGGCTCAACATGATTATGTAACATTCAGTTATGATAGAAACATATTTTATTATGGACAGTGAAACAGGAGCAAAAGAAAATAGAGGTATCAACCAGGTATTTGATGTCCTTTTCTAGAAGAACCAATGTTTATTAGCAAGCTGTAGGCCCATTTACAATAAATATCAATAGTATCATGAAATAGTGGAACAATTACTGTCCCAATACTGAACTCCTGTAACCAAAGCACATTTTGAATTCAAGAAAACACAGCATATATGTACCAACACCAAAACCAAAACCACCCCCCTCCCCAAACACACCAAAACCAAACACCAGCTTTAAGATCGAATTGGTTGTAAAACACTTATTGTGTTACTGCTTTCAGAACTCCACGGAGCACCTTGTAACTCATTAACTGCACGTTTTCCTTAGGAGGGAAACAAGGTCCTCTCTCAGTCACATATGCATAAGGAAATCTCAAAACCCAGAGGCCATCTGGTGGGAGAGTGATTTCTTGTTTTTCTGGGTAGAATACTGGACACGGTGGTGGGCCTGGTTGAACCTAAAAAATAAAGGTAATGTACTTAATGTACTTATTTTTACATTTTTCAATGAGATAAATGCCTAAACAAAAATAGGTTCAAAGACCATATAAGATTAAGGAGGTAATGGGTACACTCGTAACTCTAATCATATTCAATATTATATTACTTAGTCTCAAATATTATCCTACTTTTCTACAGATTTTTAACTTCAAGTTCTGCCTTTGAACTATACAATGTGAATTGATAGTGTGAACTGATTAACACACTCATGATTTATTTTTCAAGAACTAGAATATTAGGTAAAAAAGGTATTTAAAATTTAGAACTGTTTAATGAAATAATTAATATTATCCTGTACTTTTAAAAAAACAATCAAAACAAGCATCAGCATTTTTTGTTTGAAGATGGAAAAGGTCTTATTTCTTACCTGGGGCATTAGTATTATCTGCAAAGGAGCATCAGGAACTACAACAAAAAGCCTCATAAGTTGAGCATAATGTGGTTTTAGCCCTCTACCCTGAGATGATGACAGAATATATAATGGCATATCACTATTCAAGGCTTTTAAAGCAGACTCCTTTGGCCCACTTCCCATTACTTTCATTACTTTGTCAGGTCCTGAGCACATAAACCTCCGACCTCTAGAGTCTTCATATTCAAACCCCACAAATGCTCGAGCTATGTCATCTCTCCGTCTTCCTCTTCCCATTACAACTGCACTTCTCTTTCCAGGAATAGCTTTATTTGGAGCAGGCCAAGAATTTGTGTCTAAGTCTCCTTCATCTTCAGCTCTAGTCCTGATGACAATGTCCCAAGGCATAAGATAGTTTGTTCCTGGAATGAAGCCCTGTTGGTCTAAACCTGTATGAAAATTGTAAGACTTAGCAGGGCCTAGTTTAACTAATGACCAGCTGGAGAATTTGGGTAGGAGACCTTTAGGGCAATTTGAATGTAGCATGCCTGGGAGATACTCAACTGTAGATGCCTGTCTATCAACCAAGTTTGGTCTCTTCTCAGTTTTTACTTCTCCTTGACCATGAACTTCTGGATTATCTCCTCCTGCTTGTGGATCAGCTGGATAGGTACCTAAACTATCTGTGGATTGGCCTAAACTCAAAGCTAAACTCAGGCTTGTGCTCTCTCCTTGAGTCTGAGGTTCTTTTTCTTTAAGTTTATCAGCATCTGCATCTGGAGGGGCAGGAGAAGATTCATTTTTGGCAGGAGCAGGATCTGGAGTACTTGGTTCAAATACTGGGAAATTGATATGATCCAGTTTTCCACAACATTTTTCTTCCAGAAGCTATAGAGGAAGAAACAAAATAAAATTAACAACGTTGTTAACTTTTCATTTAAAATAACACACTCTGGGCGCCTGGATGGCTCAGTTAGTTAAGCACCTGCCTTCGGCTCAGGTCATGATCCTGGGGTCCTGGGATTGAGCCCCACTTCAGGATCCCTGATCAGTGGGGAGCCTACTTCTCCCTCTCCCTGCCCCTCACTCGTGCTCTCTCGCTCTCTCTCTCTAATAAAATCTTTAAAAAAAAATAAGTAAATAAAATAAAAATAACACACTCTTCGTTCTAAAAACCAAGATAAACAATTAATGAGTAAGCAAATAAATACATATAAAGAACTTTCCCTTGTCTCTAGATCACACTCCAGTCACATTTACTTTTCTATGTACTTTGCTTCTGAAAATATGTATTTTTACTTAAATGACAATTAACAAAAAAAAGGGGGGGAGGAAAAAGAGGAAGAAAAAATTCAGAGTCTACCTGATAAAAGTCATAGTTAGCTGCCTTGATATCAAAGGGATCATCTCGAGGTGCTTGTTTCCTTCCACAGTTACAGGCACCAGTAGATCGAGCTCGGCTATTGTGATACAGCACAGGAGGATTTCTATCAGCCTCTGGTTTTTCTCCTGGAAAATGTAACACTCACTATTAATTTCATACACACAATGCAGAATCAAATTTATTTTACATTCTATAGCATCTAACCCCCAAATTTCTCCAAAGAGTACTTTGGAAATGAGAAGGAAGAAAAAGAAAAAAAAAAAAAAAAACACCTACCAAAAACACAAAACCTTGACTAAATGCACACAGCAGGAAACGCAACTGAAAATACATAAAATGACATATATCTTCAGTCTAAAGTCTTAGGTTTTCTAAGACAATTTTATCATCATCATGGTGACCTTCTATTTCATTGTATTCTTTTTAGTTCAACAAAAACTCCAAGATAAAAATGTTAACATGAAATTTTTGAAAATTTATATTCACAGTTCTCATTTACTAATTCCCTACGGCTCATCCTTTAAATACAAGAAAATAATTAGTAGTCATAGCTGTTATTTTCTTTTTACAGCAGAAGAGAAAACTTAAATTTGATGCAACTAAATTTCTGTAGGGCTCTTTTTAAAGTATCAATACATAATGAAAGCCTTTCTTAAAACAAGAATAAAAGGGTGACTTGCTGGCTCAGTAAAGTATGTAACTCTTGATCTCAGGGTCGTGAGTTTGAGCCCCATATTGGGCAAAGAGATTACTTAAAAAAAACAAAAACAAAAAAAAACCACAGCTCAGTTCTGATTTCAAAATGCTGAGAGAATATTAGCTACCTGATTTAGGTAATGAGTGAAATTTATGTACACAGTGTTGATCAGTTAAACTCCTCTCCTCACAGAGCTGATGGCCATTGCTCCAAAACTTGTAGCAGTCCTCGTGTAACTGCATGGCATATTTGTGAAAGGCTGGACCCCTAGCATGTTGACTGTACACTCGAAGAGCCTGAGCAAGCTGATTCTTATGGACAGTCATTGTGTAATTATGAGGCAAATTTGACTGATAGGCACTATGGGCCATGGGCAAAGCTTTTTGGCACCGGTTTTCTGAGAATTTGGTGTCAATATCCAAAAACCCTTCCAAGACTTTAATACTGCTTAAAATCTTAGATGTTAGCTCCCCCGTGGGAGACCCCAGGTCCTCCTCTTTCCCATCAATAGCTACTTCATACAGTTTTGAAGCTGCTGAGATCCACTTCTGGTAAGTGGGAAGTTCAAAATGGGAAGGCTGTGGGTTCCTGCCCACACTGTCATCAAAACCTTTCTTGCTGAGGACTAGCTCCACATGCTGCCACAGAAATTCCCGAAGAGTGAAATCCACTAGCTGCCCTGAAGAACTGGAACTGCTGCTGTCAATGTGGAAAGAAAGCTGCTGCCGGCTATGCTGCCTCATCACCTGGTATCGCCTGGGCCCAGAAAGGGGTGCAGGCACCAGCAAAGATTCTGGGTCCTTCACAGTACAATGACTCCTAAGTTGGTCCAGCAACATGCCTACTGGGTCCTCCTCTTGGCTTCCTGGAACTATGTACACAAAAGCTTGGTTGGCAGGCACAGTAAAGAGGCAATTGATACTCTGATTAGTCAAGACACGACTCTTCCTAAAGATTCTATAGATCTGGTCCTCCAGGGCATGTTGCAGTCTCCTTTTGGGAGAATGCTTCTTGGGCTTGTCTGGATGAGCTGGGTCTTGGCTCCGAGGGGGTTCCACCTTGAGGGCTCCATTGAGTTGAAAGAGGAAAAGGAGTCTAGGTGGGCAAGGTCGGCAGTTTAGCTTCCAGTCTTTGCCAACTGGACAATCCTTAATGGCTGTTTTGAGGAGGGGCAGTACTTTCTGTCTGAGTCCATCCAGGGCTCTGAATACTCGATCGTAAGTGATGTCAAAGGAACAAGTGGGATGGACCAGAAGCAGGATGTGACAGACGGAGAAAAGGTAAAGGAGACTGAGACACTGCAGCTTCTCTTGATGCTTCCAGAACTCGTGAGCTTCAGCATGAGGTAAAGAGAGGCCACCTCCAGCTTCCCCGCTCTGAAGGGCATGACAAGCCCGCAGAAGCTGCGAATTGTCACAGATGGAAGTGAGAAGAAGATAAAGAACTTTGCTCTCCTGATTGTAATAGGCCTGCAGAAGGCTGTAGTCCTGGGAGCCCGGCTCAGTTCGGTTACCGTCAGCGGCAGCTACACCTCCCCGAACCGAATCCCCCGTCCCAGCCCCAGCGTCTCCGGCTCCACCAGCCTCCCCGATGGCTCCAGCCTCGGTCCTGATTCCAGGCCCTGTATCCCCAAGATCTTGGTGGCGAAAGAGGGGAAAGACCTGTCGGTCGCAAACCGTGTTCACAAGTGAGAACTTCTCGGAATTCAGTCGCAGAGCCGTCTTGCCGAAGATTCCCACCACGCAGATCTCATCCTCTCGCCAAGGAGGCTCCGGTCCACCAGCCACGCTCCCTCCGCCCTCTGTAGGGGATCCCTCCGGACTTTCAGAGCCGGTCCAGGATGAAGCTCCCATTAGAAGCTCTCGCAAGCTGACAGGACCCGCCATGGTGCTGAGACTTCTCTAGATTCTTTCCGGTCCGCCCTGAAACCCCAACCGGCTTTCGTCCACTTGCGAAATCCCTCCTCCGCTTCTTCAGTTCCTGCTTTCCTCTCACTTTAGGTTCCGCCTCCCGCTCCTAGTTTTTCGCGGTTTCCCTATTGCTACACCACAGCTTGTTTAAGGTTTGCCTTAACCGGAGACTGTAGGAATTGAGAGATCAAAAAGACAGTTGGAAACAGGTAGTTTGCAGTTCGGGGAATACAAAAACACTGCAAAAGAAGCTGGTCAAATGACTCTTGCAAAAATAGAGAAGTGATTGAGTTTAACTCTAGAACCTTGTTACAGAAGGCGTAGTCTGCAGGTCCAAGTGGGAGCTAGTTAGAAATGCAGAATCTCAGTTCCTAACCCAGACCCCACTGAATCAGTACATGCATTTCAACTAAATCCTAATGATTTGTACACACTTTACAGTTTGAGAACCACAGCTCTAGAGATACCTGGCAAGGCAAGGTAGGTGAATGGATTTCCTTTCTTATGTCCTATTCCTAAAGAAATTTAATTCACTCGCATCCCCGGAAAAGAAAGCCAGTGGTTTTGAAATGTTTATGGAATACAAGCTTTAAAAAATATTTTCTCATTCTCGGAAGACTATATACCAAAATGTTAAAATGTATATTGAAATGTTTAAAACGTATTAGAATTTGTTCACTTTTATTTCTTTACTCCTCCCCCCCCCCTTTAAAAAAGATTTTATTTATTTGACAGAGATAGACACAGCGAGAGAGGGAACACAAGCAGGGGGAGTGGGAGAGGAAGAAGCAGGCTTCCCGCCAAGCAGGGAGCCCGATGCGGGGCTCGATCCCAGGACCCTGGGACCATGACCTGAACCGAAGGCAGACACTTAATGACTGAGCCACCCAGGCGCCCCTCCTTTTCTTTTTCTTTTCTTTTTAAAGATTTTATTTATTTATTTATTTGAGAGAGAGAGAGAGAGCGCGCACATGAGAGGGGGAGGGTCAGAGGGAGAAGCAGACTCCCTGCCGAGCAGGGAGCCCGATGCGGGACTCGATCCCGGGACTCCGGGATCATGACCTGAGCCGAAGGCAGTCGCTTAACCAACTGAGCCACCCAGGCGCCCCTCCTTTTTCTTTTTTAATAGACTTTTATTTTAAAACAGTTTTAGGTTCATAGCAAAATGGAGCAGAAAGTTCCACTGTAACCTCTGACCCGCCCCCCCCATCCTCCCTCCACCATCTGGCTCCAGAATGGTACATTTGTTACAATCTATGAACCTACATTGGTTGACACATCATTATTATCCCCAAATTGATAGTTAACGTTAAGGTTTATTCTTGGTGTTGTACATTCTATGGGCTTGGACAAATGTATAATGACATGTATCTGCCATTACTGTGTCCTATATAATAGTTTCACTGCCCCAAAAATCCTGTGCGCCATCTATTCATTCTTCCTTTCTCCAACCCCTAGCAACCACTGATCTTTTTACCATCTCCATAGTTTTGCCTTTTCCACAGTGTCATGTAGTTGTACTCATACAGTACGTAGCCTTTTCAGGTTGGCTTCTTCACTTAGTAATATGCATTTAAGTTTCCTCTATGTCTTTTCATGCTTTGATAGCTCATTTCTTTTTAGTGTTGAATAATATTCCGTTATCTAGATGTACCATTGTTTATTTATCCTTTTGCCTACTTAGTTGCTTCCAAGTTTTGGAAATTATTAATAAAGCTGCTACGAACATCTGTGTGCAGGTTTTTGGGTAGACATCCTCTATTGTTTTTAAAAATTTATTTATTTTTATTGAAGTAGAGTTGACATAAAATATTACATTAGTTTCAGGTGTACACCATAGTGATTCAAAAATTATATATTATGAAATGCTCACCATGATAACTGTAGTTACCATCTGTCACCATAGTTTTACCATCTGTCACCATAGTTATTATAACATTATTGACTATATTTCCTATGCTGTACTTTTCATCCTCTTTTTTTTTTTTTTAAAGATTTTTATTTATTTATTTGAGAGGGAGAGAATGAGAGACAGAGAGCATGAGAGGGAGGAGGGTCAGAGGGAGAAGCAGACTCCCTGCTGAGCAGGGAGCCCGATGCGGGACTCGATCCCGGGACTCCAGGATCATGACCTGAGCCGAAGGCAGTTGCTTAACCAACTGAGCCACCCAGGCGCCCTCATCCTCTTTTATTTTTATCTATTTATTGTGGAAATAATTTTGCAGTATATACATATATCAAGTCATGTTGTATGCCTTAAACTAATACAATCTTATATGTCAGTTATATCTCAATAAAACTGTGGTGAGGGAAAGAATTATTTAATTCTCAAAGGAAGGATGGAGCCCTAAGTCCATAGTCGTGGTGTTTTTAATAAATTAAGCTATACTTGGCTTCTCAACCAATTCTTATTTACTAATAAGAATTCAGAAAGGAGCAGGAGTGGTTTTTTTAAACATATTTAAAAAAAATTTGTTGGGGTGCCTGGGTGGCTCAGTCGGTTAAGCATCTGCGTTCAGCTCAGGTCATGATCCCAGGGTCCTGGGATTGAGTCCTGCATCAGCTCCCTGCTCAGCAGGGAGTCTGCTTCTCCCTCTCCCTCTGCTGCTCCCCCTGCTTGTGCCCTCTCTCTGTCTAATAAATAAAATCTTAAAAAAAAATTGCTTTCATATACATATTAAAAAAACCTGTCTATTTGCTTTTTACTTGTTCCCTTCTCTACTTCTGTATGTTCAGATCCTAGCACTCTTTTTAAAGTTTTATCAACTTATTTGAGAGAAAGACAGCATGAGGGGGGAGGGGTAGAGCGAGAGGGAGAAGCAGGCTCCCCACTGAGCAGGAAGCCCGACGAAGGCCTTGATCCCAGGACCCTGGGACCATGACCTGAGCCAAATGCAGAAGTTTAACCGATTGAGCCACCCAGGTGCCCCCAGATCCTATCTCTTTTTGAAAATTCAACTAAAGGGGCGCCTGGGTGGCTCAGTCGTTAAGCGTCTGCCTTCAGCTCAGGTCATGGTCCCGGGGTCCTGGGATAGAGCCCCACATCGGGCTCCCTGCTCGGCGGGAGGCCTGCTTCTCCCTCTCCCACTCCCCCTGCTTGTGTTCCTTCTCTCACTGTGTCTCTCTCTGTCAAATAAATCTTTAAAAAAGAAAAAAGAAAATCCAACTAAAATGAGAAATTCTACATTTATCAATATAAACTACACTGTGATCCTCACCATGTGTATTATTTGCTGTTTAGTATGTGACTTTGCTGATATAAAATCATCTTAACAATTCTTGGACTTATAAATCCAGAAAAAATAAGTGTATATTAACCATAAACATTGTACAGATTCCCAAGTAAACAAAATATTGAAAAATCAATAGCAAAGACTCTTTTGAAGAAAACAGGAGCAACAAGAACTCTTATACTTTGCTATACCATGGATTGGTACAACCACTTGGAAATCCAGTTTGACAGTATCTAGAAAATAGGCATGCTTCATAACCTAGGAGTTTCACTCCTAGATATACATAGTAGAGTAATTCTTTTTTTTTTTTTAAAGATTTTATTTATTTATTTGACAGAGAGAGGCACAGCGAGAGAGGGAACACAAGCAGGGGGAGTGGGAGAGAAGCAGGCTTCCCGTGGAGCAGAGAGCCCGATGCAGGGCTCGATCCCAGGACCCTGGGATCATGACCTGAGCTGAAGGCAGACACTTAATCGACTGAGCCACCCAGGCGCCCCCATAGTAGAGTAATTCTTGTACATGTGTACATATCCAAGAATGTTCATAATGGCATGCACGGTTCATAATAGCCAAAAATTATAAACAACCGTAATTTCCATTAACAATAGAATGAGTGATAACTATATTCACACAATAAAAACAAATGATCTATAGTACTACACAATAACATGGTTGAATCCTAAAAATAAATGTTGATTGAAAGAAAACAGAAACAAAATATATAATGTATGATTGTATTTGTATAGTTCAAAAGCAAGCAAAATAAACCATAGCATTTAGGGATGTATATTTAGAGGGTAAAAGCAAGGAAATATTTATTATAACAAGCAAATCAGTAGTTACTTCTTTAAGAAAGGGATTGTGTTAGCGGAGGGAGATACGCAGGGCTTCTAAAGACATTTATAATGTTTCTTGTGTTTATATGAGCATTTATTTGCTTTATGATTTGTTAATTTATGTATTATTATTATTTTTTCTTTTTAAGATTTTATTTATTTATTTGACAGAGAGAGACACAGCAAGAGAGGGAACACAAGCAGGGGGAGTGGGAGAGGGAGAAGCAGGCTTCCTGCTGAGCAGGGAGCCCGATGCGGGGCTTGATCCCAGGACTCCGGGATCATGACCTGAGCCGAAGGCAGATGCTTAACGACTGAGCCACCCAGGTGCCCCTAATTTATGTATTATGTACTTTTCTGTGTTATATTTCTAGTAAAAACAATTAAACAAGAGAAAAACCAAAGGTTTTTTTATTGCTCTTTATTTTAATTAAAAACATAAGCAGATGGATCTTGGTGTTTATATTGTCTGGTTGTTATTCAGTGTGAAAATAAACATTGGAAATATATAATTAACAACAGTGTAATGAAGCCATAGCATTCACAGGATTCTCAAATGGGTACAACATAAAACCTGTCATAAAAATTAGTAAAAGGTAGAAAACATTTTAATACTGGTACAATGGCAATAGCAGCTTTATAAATGTCTATATATAGGATTTCTATAGCATTTTTTTTCTAAAGATTTATTTATTTGACAGAGAGAGACAGCGAGAGAGGGAACACAAGCAGGGGGAGTGAGGGAGGGAGAAGCAGGCTTCCCGCTGAGCAGGGAGCCCGATGCGGGCTCCATCCCAGGACCCTGGGATCATGACCTGAGCCGAAGGCAGACGCTTAACGACTGAGCCACCCAGGCGCCCCTTCTATAGCATTTTTAATGAACCCTTATTCCACAAGAATGATCAAATAATCAAATCATTTAAATTAAATTGAGACAGTACACGGTGGTTTATTAATATAGGCATAAGTGCCCCATAAAACACTGTCACAAATATGCAAATGTTTTATTCTCAGTGATCATTCCTTTTATTCTTATATAATATAAATGTAGCTAGCAGGTTTTGTTTTTTGTTTTTTAACTAGAAGTAGGTATGTTTCTTAACTTCATTACCTGTTTAATTTTCATTCATAAATGTGTTTATAAACATAAATGTGGGTCTCATAAGAACAAAACATGGCCCCCTGGTCTGCTTTCCAGTCTGGTGATTTTCCACAACACTCTATTTGGCATCTCAAAGCAGCATTTATCTGTGGAAATACAGGCATTTCTGGGAAATCTTTTGTAGCCTATGCTAAAATGATGATATTTCAAGGATATCATCCGTGTAGCTGCTTCCTGTCAGGCTAGGAAGTTCAGTGAAGATCTGAAACACCTCATTTCCTATCCATGAGGCAGCTGCTATCCTTATTCTTAGAACTGCAGGGATCAAAGCTAATCCTGAACCTTGTCACAGGAATTCACCCTAATGAGACTTCCTCTCCCTTGTGATACTTAACACATTAATAATGGGGATCCTGCCTGGAGCTATAATTGTGTCCAACGCTAAGTAGACATGTCTGACAAGCTGGGGGCTCCCAGAAATACTTGGCAACTTTGTAGGGGACTGACCAATAGAGTGACCAGATACAATAAAGAATGCCCCATTAAATTTGAATTTCAGATAAACAATGAATAAATTTTTTAGTATAAATATATAACTCCCATGCAATATTTGGGACATACTAAAACTAAAAAACCTACCCATTGTTTAACAGGACATATTTATATTTAAAAGTTATTTGTTTTTTATCTGAAATTCAAATTTAGCTGTCATATATTTATAATTGTTAAATCTGGCAACCCTGGGCGGGCAGGAAAGAACAAAAATCCAGTGAGGTGTGCATTATTACTGTTACTGAAGCTATTGGCTATTGAGGACAGGAATTAGGTCTCATAGAGAATCTGCTATGGACTTTAGATAATCCTTCGCAGGCCACTGTGGAAAATACAAGGTTCATGTTGAGATCCTCATAAAACTTAAAATATGCTGCATGAATATGGACAGAAAATATCAAAGAAAGGAATATCTCAGACTTCAGCGAACCAGATATGACTACCTAAATATCATTTCTAACCACTAGAAATGGTACATTCTAATTTTTAAGTTATATTGGACATTTTACTTCAAATCCATTTGGAAAATAATTGGGTTGGGATGGAGGACGGTCTTACCTCTTAACTGTTTACAGTAAACAGAAATCAAATCTAGAGGATCTTTTTTACTGATCAAGTCTGTAGCACTTAGTGAATGCATTAGCTTTTACAGGCTGAAATACTTTTCTTTTTAATTACCTAAGAATACTCAAGGAGAATGGGAATCGGGTTATTTCATTTTATTTTTTAAGGAATCAGGTTATTAATGTCAAAACTGCACCTACTGAGTATAAATTTGTTATCTAGTTAAATTTGAACAACCTCTCCAACCTAAATTGGGTAATTCCAGAATAAACATCACTTTGGGGAATGCATTTTCCCATCTGTTCTTATTGATCATGCAAACTAAAAAAATACCCAAATACCCACTTTATACCACAGTATGTATGGGGGCTCCGTACATACTTTAATTCTTCAAATGGAATTATATATTAGTATAATTATTTATACACACCCTACTACATTAAAAAAAAGGGTCGGGGTGATTTTATCTGTGTATTTTATGGATCATCATGTGGTGTCAGGCAGAGTTGGCATCAGTTTTGTTCATCAAAGCTGCTTGTAGAAAGTGGTAGAGTTTGAGTTGGGCTTCTAGGGTGAGCCATCTATGAAAAAAAAAAGGGTCCCAATTATAATATGAATTATGTTCCTGTGGCCAACACAGATCTCCTTGCTCACTAACAGAATCCAGATTTTGTGCAGGGCAGCAATACAGCCAGACTCTAAAAACCCTTTTTCCCAGTTTTTCTGATATAATTAGAAGGTGGATAGCACCTGTTTAAAGAGAAGAGGGGTAACTTAGCTAGCATACCCTTTTGTCCTTTGCCTTTCTCCTTATCTTGCCTAGAATGTGGACACTGGGCTTCAGGAGGTGTAGGCATTCTTTACCATGAGGATAAAAGCCACACATTAAGGATGGAAGAGCAGGGATGACATGTGAAGCTGCTGTCCCAGTTATGGGCTGCCTACTTCCCAAAGGAATATGCAGGTAAGAAAAATAAGACCCTACTTGGTCAAGCCACAATGGTCAGATTTTTGTTACCTAATGCAAAAGCAAATTTCGTTACCAAATGCAAAACCTAACTAATACAGTTGCTTCAGACTTAAAGGAAAAAGGAAGCCTAAGGACAGGGGTGGGGAAGGGGGAGGGTCATTTTATGTCGAACAACAGTTTTTAAAAAACTTCCTCCTACTAAGTGGATTTTGGTGAATACCTCATATGGCAGATATCTTTTCTAGGATTTTTAATGTTGTTGCTCAATATGTGTGCTTATTATTTATCGTATTTTCATTTATTTCCACATTACTCAACTCATTATAGTAATTATGGGGTAGGGCAGGGACAAAAAAGAATCCCAGAGCTGAACAAAGAAAGGAAGGGCCTTAGTCCTTCAGTGAGGCCCCTGCCCTTCATAATTTGTGGTATCACCAAGGATTGTGATCTGGGGGTAGACTCCCCACTGGATGCTCCAAAAGGAGGAAAGAGGAATGTGGCCACACCTCCAAAGAAGGCGGTGTAGTGTCCAGGAGGACAAAGTTGATTGGCAAGAAGTTGATTGGCAAGCTGTTTGCAAAAGGCACTGATTCTTAATGAGGAAACAAAGGGAGGACAGTGTTGGGTTGGCAAAGTGTCAGCAGAGAAGTCCGTGGTGTGTCTCTATCTCCAGAGGGAAATAGAAACACAAGCTTCATAGCCAAAGGGGCCAGCAGCCCTGTGTCCCAGCACTCTAGTAGGAGTGGCAGAAGGATGGCTACTCCCCACAGATCCAGTGACAGAAGTGAACAGGGAGATGACAGACAAAAGGGTTTGGAAGAAATCACATCAGGCCCCACTAATATACTAGATTTTGGTGTATGGGTCATACGTGTAGGTGACAAAGAAGAAAGCTGCTGAGACCTTTTCCTATCAACTGCACGATCTGCTCCCTATCTATATCTCCATCCCTGTCTTTCACCACTGTCAGACTTGCTCTCTCTGTTATAGCTACTTTGGCCCCTTTTCAGTTTCTCAGTTAGGCCATGATCCCTCCACCATAAGACCCTTGCATATACTGTTCTTTTTGCCTGGAGCTCTTTCTTCCCAGACATCCATGGTGGGCACACCACCTTATCCCATAGGTACCCTTCCCAGTTAACACCTATTCATCCTTCAAGTCTCACTTCATCACTTCCTAAGGGAATCCTTCCTAGATCACCCAGGCTAGATAAAGTTCCTCTATGGGTTCCCACAGAACTCTGTTCCTTTCCTTTATAGTACTTATCTCAGTGTAGAATTATACAAATATGTGATTATTTGACTAATGTCTATTTTCCCCACTAGGCTAAAAGCTCCAACACAGTAAAGCCAGGTCTGATTTTGCTTACCACCGTATCCCTAGTACTCTAGGGGAGTGCCTGGCATATGGGAAGTGCTTAATAAATACTCATCTAAAGGAATTAACAAAACCAGACATTCATGGTTAAAGTAGAGATAATAATGTTAGCTATGTCACAGAATTTTATAAAGCCTAAATATGAAAGTGTTTTGTAAAGCATAAAGTGCCATTTAAAAATTATTATAAGAAAGATCCTTTGGATTATATGATTCTAAATAAATGATTTTGAAGAAAAGGAAACTTTTTTTTTTTCCCCTAAAGGCTTACCTGAAACTTTCTCCTCAAGGCCCGGGTCATTACTGGAGTCAGCCCAGTTCCTGTATCCATATTTTCTTTATTGGTAAATGGGGTTCCACCTGGGCTCCTGCAAAGGTATTGACAATATTAGAAGCTATGTTTTATGCTAACTTTTCAAATGGATTTAGAAAGCATAAAAATAAGAGAGTGTATTACCTCTCTACATCAACTTTTCTAAGTAGTTTCCGCAGATCTATTTGGCCTTTACCAGGGGTACTGATGAAATAAAGATATAAAAGTTAGAGCTTGCCAGACTTTATCATCTTTCCCAAAGCAAAGCAGCCATTTCTATAGGCAATGTCCTAGAAAGTAGTTCTATTTGTTACATTAAAAAATAGCAGCAGAGGGGTGCCTGGCTGGCTCAGTCAGTATAGCGTGTGACTCCTGATCTCGGGGTCATGAGTTCAAGCCCCACATTGGGCGCGGCGCCTCCTTAAAAACAAAAATAGCTATAGATGCTGATAAGAGCATAAGGTGACATAATTGTCCTAATAAGTAATAAGTAATATGTCTTGATTCAGTAATTATACATATAAGAATCCATCTTAGAGAAAGACTCAGCTATGCACACAGATGGTGGACAAGGATGTTCACTGAAGAGTTAGAAATAAAAAAATCATAAACAACCGGGCGCCTGGGTGGCTCAGTCGTTAAGCGTCTGCCTTCGGCTCAGGTCATGATCCCAGGGTCCTGGGATCGAGTCCCACATCGGGCTCCCTGCTCGGCAAGAAGCCTGCTTCTCCCTCTCCCATTCCCCCTGCTTGTGTTACTGCTCTCGCTATCTCTCTCTCTGTCAAATAAATAAATAAATAAATTTAAAAAAAAATCATAAACAACCTAAATGTCTCAAAACAGGAGTTTATCTATGAAATTTGCATATAATGTACTGTATATACAGAAAAAGTCAAAATGATGCTTTAAAGTGATTTTTAATAAGATGGGGGAAAGTTCTTGACACATTAAATGGGAAAAGCCTTAACTGTATGTACGGTATGATTACACACAGGTACACAAACACGTACGCACGTGTGCACACACACATGATTTCACCGATTCCAAGACATACTAGTTTTCATATTTTATTATTCCTGAAATTGGGCTGCTTTAAAAATTCTTTTTTTTTTCTTCCTTTTTTAAGTAATCTCTATCCCCAACAGGGACTCCAACTCATGACCCAAAGATCTTCTGACTAAGCCAGCCAGGCGCCCCTAAAAAAATTCTTGATATTATTTCTTTTCCTCCCAAATCCATTTATTTTTATTTTATTTTATTTTATTTTATTTTTTAAGTAATCTCTGTGCCCAGCTTGGGGCTCGAGCTCACAACCGGAGATTTGAGAGTCACATGCTCCACTGACTAAGCCAGCCAGGCACCCCTGAGCCAACCCTGCCCCCAAATCCACTGTTAAATCAATGGTGTATCGTATAATAAACAGCATCATGAAATGGAAATAATAGAGTAGATACCTACACAAAGACTAGAATGATAAACAACAGTATGTTAATAATAGCTATCTTCAATCATACAGTTATTTGAATGATTTTTTCTTTTTTATAAATTTTTTAAAAGATTTTATTTATTTATTTGAGAGAGAGAGAGAGAGACAAGCAGAGGGAGGGGCAGAGGGACAAGCAGACTCCCCTCTGAGATCATGACCTGAGCTGAAGGCAGACCCAGGTGCCCCCGTTTTCTTCTTTAAACTTTTCTGTGGATTTCCAGTTTTCTACAATGAGGATATATAACCTTTAAAGTTAGAGATAAGCAAAAAAATCATTCTTTTAAGTAACAGTAGAGCATGACACAGTGTAGTTCCTTACATCAGGACATTTGTAACTCGAGTTGATAGCACTTTGGAGTTGGACTTCAGGGTGACACGCTGCAGGTCAGAGACAGTAACTAGTGGATTCTGTGCCTTTGGTGACGGTACAAGCTTTAATCACAAAATGAGAGAGTATCAAAAAACACACTTAAAAATATCATTCAAAATGTAAACATGCTGCAACAATGAAGACTTGAATGCTGAGTATGTGTAAGATAATATCCACTACTCAATTTTTATTTCAAAGCTTCAAAGTATGTCTCTACTTCTTTAGACTAATGGTTGGTAGATAAAACTGCCTAATTAAATAATTTTGGGATCTACACATTTTGTTGAGGAGATCCAAAACTACTCAAATAAAACATCAAATACTTACTTCAGAATGGCTCCTGTACATGAGACTTATGTTTATTTTCCAGAAAGGGACAACCAGGTTAAAAGCTGAAAGATCATGTGTATGGTCAGTGACATCTTACCTCCTTCCTTTCATCAAAACACTGTGTCTTCTTTAATTTCACAGTCAGTAGATCTTCAACTGTTATCTGCATGGGTCCCTCTTTTTTTAATGGTCCAGCCTTAAAATACATGGAGAGGTTAGAATTCCAGTTGTAACCAGGATATCTAGTCAAATGCAAATCCAAATCTAGTTTTATTTTATTTTATTTTATTTTAAAGATTTTATTTATTTATTGGACAGAAAGAGACACAGTGAGTGAGGGAACACAAGCAGGGGGAGTGGGAGACGGAGAAGCAGGCTTCCCGCTGAGCAGAGAGTCTGATGCAGGGCTCGATCCCAGGACCCTGGGATCATGACCTGAGCTGAAGGCAGATGCTTAACGACTGAGCCACCCAGTCGCCCCCAATCTAGTTTTTAAAAACTCATTTAAAAACTAACTCTTATTTGCCCTAGGAACCTATCAAATTATTTTCATTCAAACAAGAACGATCCTGTTTTTAGCACCCATGGATGCTACTGCTATTGTATTCATCAAAATGTAAGGCTTTGACAATAAATAAGAGATGGGCCAGTTCCCTGCAACTATGCATCTTCCTCAGGAGTCATGATAATAAGACAGGAGTTGATGGAGTTCCTCACATCAAGGTGAAGTTTTGCTTGAATTACCTAAAAAGTTGACTCAGTTCCCGGAGAACAAGAATGTACAGTCAGAGGGATATGCATTATGGCAAACATAATAATAGGCTCTGGATTTAACCCAGCCAATTTATTTATTTATTTTTTAAAGATTTAATTTATTTATTTGACAGGGAGCCCGATGCGGGGCTCGATCCCAGGACCCTGGGATCATGACCTGAGCCGAAGGCAGACGCTTAGCGACTGAACCACCCAGGCACCCCTAACCCAGCCATTTTAAACCAGATGTATCTGGAGTGAAAATTCAGCAGATTTTTAAACAGGGTCATGCTGATCTTAGTGATTCACAAATATTCCCTTGGTGGATAAGTAATTAATGGAGACTGGTCCTTCAGCTTAATGACATTATACTTTAGGATCCACCAACTCTTTTTATTCTGACTTTACTCATTAAGCCACCTTCTGTTCTTAATTTGGTTTCCCAGGGAGGTTTTTCTTTTGGTGAAAAGATATTCTGAGAAGCCATTGGGAATATTCTGATCTACTGGCTTTCATTCATTTATCCTTTAAAAAAAAAATCGCTTTTCTTTCTAAATCCAGTTCCTACAGGACTGAGTTTTTAAAAACATAATCACTGACATAATTAAGATATGGAATCAGAAAGAAAAAAAAATGCAGCTTTCCTCTCAAAGCCCTTAGTGTCATCTCAAAAGGCCACCTTGCTTTACTCCTACATTTGACCCTGGCCAAAACACGTCATTACGAGGTTGTTTCCTACCTGAAGTGCTTTAGTGCGATCAGATCTTCTGAGCGGCACAGGTGCTGTAGGCGGTGGTGGCGGAGGCAGAGGAGGAGGTGGGGGCGGTGGTGGCGGAGGCACAGCTGGAAGGTGGCTGGCTGGCTGTGGCAGAGTGGGAGGAAGTACAGCCCGAGATTCTGCAGGGGTGCTTAGCACACAGGCGGGCACATTTGTAAATGTTTGGCCACAGCTTGGGCAGGAAGATTTTTCCAAGACAGTCTGTAAGAAAACATTACATTTAGCAAACGAATAGCAGATTAATTTGGTTCTTGTGGCTCAGAGTCACTGAGCTAATAGCTACCGTGTATTGAATGCTTTCTCAGTATACTACGTGTTTTTTAATATTTTCTCATTTATCGCAAGCCCATTCACTCACTCATTCGTCCACTCGCATATTTGTGCGTGCAATATGCCAGGCACTGTGGGTACAGCGTGCACCCTGTCTGTGACATCATGGAGCTGACAGTCTGGTAAGGAAGGCAGACATTAAACACACACACACCCAGAACAAAACAAAATAACGCTTCGGTGCAAACAATGAGGTGTGCTGTGGGCATGAATAGTGAGAAACCTGGAGAGAGATATTTAGCCATAATCTCAAGGATGAATTGCAATTTATCAGGTCTCAAGGGAGATAAGGTCTGGGGAAAGAGAGTCCCCCCCCCTCCCCAAATTCATATTTTGAAGCCCTAACCCTAGTCCCTCAGGATGCCTTTGGAGATAGGGCCTTTAAAGAGGTGATTAAGTTAGAACGAGGCCGTTAGAGTGGGCTGTCATCCAATCTGACTGGTGTCTTTATAAAAAGAAATTTGAACATACAGGAGAAACATCAGGGATGTGTGTGTAGAGACAAGACCATCTGAGGACACAGTGAGAAGGCAAGCCAAAGGAGAGAGGCCTAAGAAGAAACTAACTCTGCCAACACCTGGATCTTAGACTTTTAGCCTCTAGAACTGTGGGAAAATAAATTTCTGCTATATAAGCCACCCAGTCCATGCCACTTTGTTATGGCAGCCCTGGGAAATGAAAAATAACCCTACGGAATAAGATGGTGTATTAGTTTCCTATGGCTTCTTTATCAAATTATCACAAATTTGGTGGCTTAAAACAATTGAAATTCATTTTTTCACAGTGCTGGAGGCTAGAAGTCTAAAATCAAGATGACAGCAGGGCTGTGCTACCTCCCAAGCGTCTAGGGAAGAATCTGTTCCCTGCCTCTTCCTGTTTTTGGTAGCTATGGTCATTCCTGAGCTTGAGACTACATCACTCCAATCTCTGCTTGTGCTCCCACTGCTCCTCCTCTCCTCTGTGTGTGCTCTGCTCTCTCTCTTATAAGGACATTTGTCATTGGATTTAGGGTCCACTCAGATAATAGAGTATGATCTCCTCATTTCAAAATCCTTAACTTAAGGGGCACCTGGCAACTCTTGATCTCACGGTCATGAATTCAAGCCCCATGCTGGGTGTAGAGATTACTTAAAATAAAAAATCCTTAACTTAATTACATGGGCAAAGACCCTTTCCCCAAATAAGGTCATATTTATAGGTTTCAGGGATTAGGACTTGGACATATCTTTTGGAGGCCATTGATTCAGCCCACCAAAGATGATATCATCCTCATTTTTAGAAGAGGAAACGCAGGCCTGGATGAGTGAGGTGATTTGCCTCTCTTCCTGTCTGATTCATCTTGAGGTACATATTCTGGGACAAGGGTGTAATCCCAGAAGCTTCACTGCAAACCAACAAGTGCAATGTTTATTTTTTGAGTTTTAGACATTGAGAATAGGGGCCTTGCTTAGGGGAGTTTGGAGACAATGGATATTTATGGCTTTTCTGCCTCTATCAGTCAAGAAAATAGAAATCATCCTGAGTCTTTATTTATTTATTTACTTATTTTTTAAAGATTTTATTTATTTATTTGAGAGAGAGAGAATGAGAGAGAGCACATGAGAGTGGGGAGGGTCAGAGGGAGAAGCGGACTCCCTGCCGAGCAGGGAGCCCGATGCGGGACTCGATCCGGGGACTCCAGGATCATGACCTGAGCCAAAGGCAGTCGCTTAACCAACTGAGCCACCCAGGCGCCCCCATCATGAGTCTTTAAAAGAGGGTGAAGGTAGGGGCGCCTGGGTGGCTCAGTCATTAGGTGTCTGCCTTTCGGCTCAGGTCATGATCCCGGGGTCCTGGGATCAAGCCCCACATTGGGCTCCCTGCTCCGCGGGAAGCCTGCTTCTCCCTCTCCCACTCCCCCTGCTTCTGTTCCCTCTCTCACTGTCTCTCTCTGTCAAATAAATAAATAAAATCTTAAAAAAAAAAAAAAAAGAGGGCGAAGGTAACGTGGGAGAGTTGGTTACATTGATGGTGAAAGAGCTGAAAACACACAGGGAACATTGAGGCAGCCCAGAGATTAGCAACAGCAAAAAGCCATGAATACCCTGAGGCTGGAGGGGAACAGGGAAGAGCAGTATAACCAGATCTCTAGAGGTGGGTTAACCCAGATAATCAAGAAACATGGTAGACTTACCTGGAGGGAGCTGGAGTGAGGGAGATAACAATAATCATCACTGGAGAAATTGCCCAATGCAGAGAACAAAGGGGAAAAACACACTCCCTCCATACGGCCACCAGTCTCTCGTCAGTGTCTCCCATTAGCCAAGCACAACCAGAACCAGGTGACACGGAGCTTGGGACACACAGCCTGCATGGGTTAACCCCAGTGCAGTGCAGAGCAGAGCCTTGAAGCCTAAGGAATAGATCTGCGGGCAAACAGGCCCAAGACTAGCACCTGCCTGTAGCCATTCCTCCTTCTGGTAAAAGCAGCATGCTGGTATTCCTATGGGGGATGACCCCTGCCCTCGCTCTCTTATTCCGGATTTCTTTTTATTTAACAATACCAACCTTCAGTGTTTCCTGGAGCTTGCATAATTCACTTTCCAAAATGCAAAACCGTTGTTTTAGACTGTGAAGTTCTCGATGGCAGAAACGGGATGGAAAGACAGTGTCTTTCAATACTTCTAAACTCTGAAATTCAAAATTAAACAAGCCTGAAATCTAAAAGTAACATGATCAGGACAAGAAAAAAGAGAGAAAAAAGCGGTTTGATGTATGTTTTACAGAAGCAAAGGCCTATATGACCCCATAATTTCATCTTACCTGAGCTTAGCTTTAGCGCTGTGCTGACCTGAGCACACACACATGCGAACACACATACCAAGTATGCAGAAAAACCATATTGCTGAAAACGGGTATGTCAAACCCATACCTGGGCCATGCAGTTCTGGCACCAACTGTATATAGACCACACTCTATTTGTCCAAAGTTTTACAGTATCTTTGATATTGGGAAATCTGAAGTTCCAGGATGGTCTTAGCCGGCTTCTGCTAAGGGATGTATCTCCTGAAGAAATAACCACTCTGTAGGAAAAACAAAACCAAACCAATAAAAAACTCCTGAGTTGGATTAACAGCTCTATTTATTTATTTATTAAAGTTTTTTTTTTTTAAAGATTTTATTTATTTATTTGACACAGAGAAAGAGCACAAGCAGGGGGAGCAGAGGAAGAAGAGGGAGAAGCAGACTCCCCACTGAGCAGGGAGCCCGATGTGGGGCTCAGTCCTAGGTCCCTGGGATCATGACCTGAGCCAAAGGCAGACAAGCCCCATATCTGGCTCTGCACTCAGTGGGAGTCTGCTTGGGATTCTCTCTCACCCTCTGCCCCTCCCCTCACTTGCTCTCACTCTCTCAAATAAATCTTTTTTTATTATTATTTCTTAAAGATTTTATTTATTTATTTGACAGAGACACAGCGAGAGAGGGAACACAAGCAGAGGGAGTGGGAGAGGGAGAAGCAGGCTTCCCGCTGAGCGGGGAGCGCGATTCGGGGCTGGATCCCAGGACTCTGGGATCATGACCTGAGCCGAAGGGAGCTGTTTAACCGACTGAGCCATCCAGGCGCCCCTCAAATAAATAAATCTTTAAAAAATAAAATAATAGGGGTGCCTGAGTGGCTCAGTCGTTAAGCGTCTGCCTTGGCTCAGGTCATGATCCCAGGGTTCTGGGATCAAGCCCCGCATCTGGCTCCCTGTTTGGCAGGAAGCCTGCTTCTCCCTCTCTCACTCCCCCTGCTTGTGTTCCCTCTCTCGCTGTGTCTCTCTCTCTGTCAAATAAATAAATAAATAAATAAATAAATAAATAAATAAAATCTTTAAAAATATATATATTTTATTTATTTATTGGGGGGAGGGGCAGAGAGAGGGAGAAGCAGACTTCCTGCTGAGCAGGGGGCCCAGGAGAGGACCCTGGGATCATGACCTGAGCTGAAGCCAGATGCTTAACCAACTGAGCTACCGAGGCACCCCTAAACTCTTAAAACAATGATCACCACATAAAGTTTAGAATGCTCAGTCAAAATTTAATTTCTGATGAGGGATGAATAATATTTTAGTGTAAGTATCCTGTAAATGTTGCATGGGACAATATTAAAAAATACTTTTTATCTGAACTTTAAATTTAATTGGGCATTCTTTGCTAAATCTGGTGACCCTGTCCTTAACAGATCAGATTTTTAGTATTTTTTCTTTTCCACACTTACGCCTTACCTTTCTGGTGAGGGTGGCGGAGGAGGAGGTGTAATTAGCTTGGGCTGAAAGTGAGAGGCTTCCCTTTTTTTGAATAATCTTTTTGCTTTGGCTTTTAGCTTTCTTCTTCGTTGCTTGAACTTGGGCATGATTTCTGTAGAGAAAAATTTTTTTTTACATTTTTTATTTTAGAATAATACATACATATAGAAAATGTAAAAATCTTTTTTTTTTAAAGATTTTATTTATTTATTTGAGAGAGAGAGAGAGAAAGAGCACAAGATGGGGGAGCGGGAGAGGGAGAAGCAGACTCCCCGCTGAGCAGGGAGCCCGATGCGGGACTCGATCCCGGGACTCCAGGATCATGACCTGAGCCGAAGGCAGTCGCTTAACCAACTGAGCCACCCAGGCGCCCGAAAATGTAAAAATCTTAACTGTACAGTTCAATGAATTATCAAAGTGAACACACCCTTCTAACCACCATTTGGTTAGGAAATGGATCGCTACCAGCATCCCAGAAGTCCCCTGAAGTGAAGAAAAATTTAAACCCAGATTTAAAGTTTCTTTAGAGACTTGGCTTTGGCATTACGTCGCTCTCTAATTTTGTTTTGCTTGTCTTACTTTTCTTCATTAAGTGTATTTCCATTTCTTGTAAGAGAGAAAAATGGCTATAGTTGGGTTATGGTCAGTTATTAAAAGAAGTTTCTTTCCAGTAACATTTACTGAGCACCCACTGTGATAGATGGAGTTGGTAGAGGAAGAAACAAATTTAACCATTGAATGTCCATTTGCTTTTGGGCACCTTCACATACACTTTCTCAGTGAATCCTCACTACCCTGCAAGATTTTATCCCTGAGGAAGAGGATTTTTACTCCCATTTTTACATTAAGAATAAACTGAGACATAGAAAGATTATATGATTTGCCAGTGTAATGCAGTAAATAAATCTCCAAAGACCGTGTTCTTTCTAACACTCTGTGGTGCAAAAGTTGATTAAATAGGTGATATACAATGTAATAGCAGTTACCCCAAATATTTCAAAACATTTATTTTAAAGCATTTTAAAACACTATCTAGTGTATTTAGATTTTAATCTAGATCCTTTTCTGAAGAAAATTAAGTCAGAGCTAGTTTGATGTGAAGAAGAACTTTGCTGGTTGCTGTTGTTGCTACCTGAGGAACAAAGATGTCATTATTCAAGTAGCAGAACTAAAAATGGTCTCAAGGGCTGGGCCTCCTTCCCTTCAAACTCACATTTGAATAGGAACAATTGGCCTTTAAAATACACATTCATTCCACTTTTGTTCACCCAGAAACCTTTCAATACTTGGTATGCAGGTCTACGCTTGCTCAGCTCTCAGATTGCACTGGCTGAAGAACCTCCTTTTTTAACTGGCTGTGGGTTGTAAAAACTCCAAAGTGGCTTACTGCAGTTCCAAGAGCTTTGGTCTTGCAGAGGGTACCCCTAATGGCAATGGGTGACAGTGCATATTATCAACAGCCCTTCTAGGAGGAAGGGTTCTCAGTAGCATCTTATTGAACTAATGCCAGGTCTCAAACTAACAGTTTTCCTTAATTGTTCTTACAGACATGGGAGATACGCCAAAAAATAGTTAGCTGCCTTCACTTGTATTATATCACTTGTTCCTGCTGAAATAATGAAAGAAGGCTAAGCAGGGATTATTAAATTACAAAGGATATCTAAAGGATTCATTGATTTTTTTAAAACAAACTTAACACAAAACTAAAATACTCTGAATGAAGATGTTTAGGAGAGCCTCAGAGGAAGCAGCAATCTTGCTGTTGCCTGAAAAAAAAAGATTAAACCTCATCAAATCCATGCCTACGATTTTCTATGGAGAGATGTCACAGAGAACCTCTACTCAAGGTCCAGAGTTCACTGGGTGAAATCCCCAGAATCTGAGACTTCCATGGTAACCTCTTCTTCCATGTCTTCCATCTGCCCCTATGCAACCCTCCCCCATTGTCTTTCCCTTTGATGTCTTTTATTAGACATCATACTGACACAGAGAAGTGGCCTCCTGCCTCTTTTTTCCCCCTATATTCACCAATCCCTCAGTTAGAAAAACAGACTTTAGAAAGGAGCTGGACATTCTGCTTTAAACTTGGTAGATTGGCTCCATACCTTTCTCTCCACTCCAATGGTGTGTTGGGGTTGGCAACAACTGATATATTTTCAGGAAGTCTGAGTTAGTTTTTAAACCCATCCACCATTAAAATTAAATTATATAAACTTATAATTAGATAGTTTATATTTAAGATGGTAATAAAGGGGAGCCTGGGTGGTTCAGTTGGTTAAGGGTCTGCCTTCGGCTTGGGTCCTGATCTCGTGGTCCTGGGATCGAGTCCCACATCGGGCTCCTTGCTTACCGGAGAGCCTGCTTCTCCCTCTGCCTGCCGCTCCCCTTGCTCATGCTCTCTCTCTCTCTCTCACTCATGCTCTGACAAGTAAATAAATAAAATTTAAAAAAAAATGATAATAAATATGATGCAAAACTCATCACTTCCTAATGATTTTACTATTATCTATGCTCTTGCCGTTGTTTACCTTATTGTATCTATATAGTGAAAATGCTATAAAATGCTCATTTCTTTCCAATTCCACATTCAGTGACTTCACGTTGAAAACTTGAAATTGGCTGTGATGGGAGTATTTACACCATGGATATTATAAAACACCACAAATCAGGGCTTGATTCATTATGTTGTTGATTGTTAAGAGAGTGATAAAGAAAATGTTAATAATGCAGATCACATTTAAAAGCATATCTTGGGGGCACCTGGTTTGCTCAGTTGGTTAAGCATCTGCCTTCGGCTCAGGTCATGATCCCGGGGTCCTGGGATAGAGCCCCATGACTAGCTTCCTGCTCAGCAGGGAGTCTGCCTCTCCCTACCCCATCCCCCCTGCCCATGTGTGTGCACAGTCTCTCTCTCTCTCTTTCTCTCAAATAAATAAATAAAATCTTTTTAAAAAGTGTGTATCTTTTCTGTAGTTGTTACATTGTAAAAAGCATAAAATAATTGAGGAATATTCCGGTATTTGAAAATGATTATTCGATTCATCAAAGAAGTTGCTTACATAATTGAAATGAAGTTCCAGTATAAATCTTTGGTTCACTTTATCTTATTCTATAGAGTAAATGAAAAGATCAACTGACATTCCTATCAGGACTATACTTGTTTATAAATTGGAACCATAGCAGGGCACCTGGGTGGCTCAGTCCGTTAAGTGTTCAACTTTTGATTTCGGCTTAGGTCATGATCTCCGGGTTGTGAGATCAAGCTTCAAGTGGGCTCCACGCCCAGCACAGAGTCTGCTTGAGGTTCTCTCCCTTCTCCTCTGCCCCTCCCCTCTCTTGCTCTCTCTCTCTCTAAAATAAATAAATAAATAAAATCTTAAAAAAAGTAAATTGGAACCATAGCTTGGCTACAGATACAAGAAGTCTGTAAAAATCAACAATAGTATTCTCTGAGAATCAACTGTATGTGAAATTTATAAGAACATTATAGGTGTGCCTGGCTGGCTCAGTCATTAGAGCATATGATGCTTGATCTCAGGGTTGTGAGTTCAAACCACATGTTGGGTACAGAACTTACTTTTAAAAAGCATTATATATATTTTATTATTGTTTATAATTTTTAAATTTCCTGTTATTAGTAAATTTATAATAAAATTATGCATATGTATCTATTAAACATTTATTAGCACACTCTTGGTCCAACCCTTCTGAAACATAACAAAAAAAGGCAGTAAAGGAGTGGTGAATATATTTCTCTTTCTTTCTTTTTTTAAAGATTTTATTTATTTATTTGACAGAGAGGCACAGTGAGAGAGGGAACACAAGCAGGGGGAGTGGGAGAGGGAGAAGCAGGCTTCTCACCGAGCAGGGAGCCTGATGTGGGGCTCGATCCTAACACCCTGGGATCATGACCTGAGCCAAAGGAACGGAAGGCAGACGCTTAATGACTGAGCCACCCAGGTGCCCCCACAATTTTAATTTTTTTTATTATTTATTTATTTTTTAAAGATTTTATTTACTTATTTGACAGAGAGAGAGAGACAGCAAGAGAGGGAACACAAGCAAGGGGAGTGGGAGAGGGAGAAGCAGCCTTCCCGCGGAGCAGGGAGCCCGATGCGGGGCTCGATCCCAGGACCCTGGGATCATGACCTGAGCCGAAGGCAGACGCTTAACGACTGAGCCACCCAGTGGCCCCAAAATTTTTATTTTTTTTTTAAGAAATCTCTACACCCAGGTTGAAGTTGAACTTACAACCCCAAGATCAAGAGTCACACATTTGACCGACTGAGCCAGCCAGGTGCCCCAAGGAATGGTGAGTATAACATAATGTATAGAGTTGTCAAATCACTACATTGTACACCTGAAGCTAATGTAGCTTTGAGTGTCAGCTCTACTTCAATTAAATTAAAAAAAAAAAAAAAGAGGGGTGCCTGGGTGGCTCAGTTGGTTGAACATCCACCTCTTGATCTTAGCTCAGGTCTTGATCTCAGGGTCATGAATTCAAGCCTCACATTGGGCTCCACACTGGGCATGGAGTCTACTTAGAGAGAGAGAGAAAGAAAGAAAGAGAGAGGGAGAGAAAGAAAGAAAGAGAGAGAGAGAGAGAAAGAAAGAAAGAAAGAAAGAAAGAAAGAAAGAAAGAAAGAAAGAAAGAAAGAAAGAAAAGAAAAGAAAAAGAAAAAGTAAGGGCAGTAAGGAATAAAAAAATCACAAACCCATAAAACAAAGAATGGGAGCAGACTATGGGAGATGATGAATGTCAACTAAATTATGGAAAATGGAAAGCAGATGGATGAGTTGGCAGAGCAGAAGAAAGCGGAGCTTTGACTGCCTGTGGTAGGGAAGCCAAGTGGAAGCAAGACAATTCTCAGAAACTTTAAGTGAGAGGATTCTGGCCTTGAAGGCATGTAGAACCTTGAAAATTTGGGGTTAAAATAGGATTAATTAAATCTTTATAAGGATTGGATAGGCCTCTGGAGTCTGTCTTCCAGTCCTTGTAGCCAGGCAGCTCCTGGCATTTATGTCCTCTCCAGTAAAGATGGATAGGTTTATTCTCTGGAGAAGGTGAACCATAGAGGTGCTGAATTGTGGGCCATGAGGCACAGCAATAGC